CCCACTGAGATTGGCGAAAATTTCCTCCTTTATGAGACTGCGCACGATATCTGGGTCAGTTCTACTCCACTCGCGACAACACTTCCGCCATCTTCGAAATCGAAGCAAGCCCTCACGACCTGCACCAAGAAGAAAAAACAATAACTCAATATTACAATTTTCTTACTTGAAAATGGCAACAACTTGATGTTTTTGAGGAACATACTTGGAGCTGCCCAGAGGATGCCAGGAGATTCCGAAGCATCGTGGAACAGAAACGAATCTTCAAGTTTCTTTTCGGACTGAACAAAAACCTCGATGAGGTAAGAGGACGCATCCTTGGAACCAAACCTCTCTCGAACATCAGAGAGGTGTTCTCTGAGGTGCGACGCGAAGAAAATAGGAAGAAAGTGATGATGGGTGACTCGCAACTCAACCCTAACCCTGCTAAAAGCATATCTCTCACACTCGAGACTGGTACTGTTCTTACAAGTCGGGTGACTGAGCGAAAGGGACGGCCATGGTGTGAATACTGTAAAAGGCCGGGACACATTCGTGGAAGATGCTGGAAACTTCACGGGTAACCAACTGAGAAGGAATCGACTGAGAAGAAGAAAACACCAAAGCAGGAAATGGAGGAAATTCATCGGGGCAATTTTATCTCAACAGAGGAGGGATCCACTGCAGCCATTTCTACCAGAAGCTCCTTATTTAGTCCTGAATAAATCAGCCTCCTCCAAAAATTGTTTTCACTCAATATGATTTTCAGTAATGCTTCTACAGCTCACAAAGGTAATTTTTCTGGTTTCTCAAATCAGCCTATCATGTTATGGTATTACTGTTTAGTATATCCTAAATTCGTGTACTTGAAAAATCTATTTCTTGTTTTGTTTCGAAATAAAAATCTAACTTCCTTTCAATGTGAAGTATGTCAGCTGTCCAAACATATTCGAGATTCATTTTCCAGTTCTGATTACAAACCTACAAAACTTTTTTTATTAATTCATAGTGATGTATGGGGTCCCTCTCGGGTCACTAATATTATCGGAATAAAATAGTTTGTATCTTTTGTTGATGATCATATTAGAATTATCTGGATTTTTCTCATGAAAGAAAAATATGAAGTTGGCCAGATTTTTAAAAAATTTCACATTATGATTTAAAATCAATTTCACACCAATATCCAAGTAGTGGTGTTAGACAATGGGTGTGAATACTTTGAAACTACTTTTGAGCCAATATTTTTCTGACCACG